GGGGTTTTTTTTTTTTTTTTTTCCCAAGATGGTGATCCCTGATCTGTGGTCTATTAATGTACATACGAAGCAAGCTATTGAGGGATATCATAGGTCATAGGGCCGACTGCTTCGCAACCTCGATACCATTGCTCGACTTAAGGAGGTAGCAGGCCTTCGCAATTACAAGTTGCATGTCACGGGTACGGGTTTTACATGCTATGTATCCCTCAACTTGAACAAGGCCGATACTGTCGCGAGGACTATGTAGATGCTTTTGAAGATGGTGAACAGACAGATTCGGTCCATGACCTTGCTTTTACATGAGGGTTATCCCTACAATTCGTGTTATTACTAATTAACTACTTCTCTGCGTCGCACAGTCACTTTCATATGCAAGTCAATCAATTTTGGTGATACTTGAAGCGTCTCAGCTCAAGTCACCCATAAGAAAAAGCAAAGTCTACAGACAGGACTTGACTTTCCCCAGTCCGTATTGCCACGCCAGATCGTCCCGTCCCTGGTGCGAGATCTCTAGGTCTCGAGCTAATCTACAATGGCTAGGTATGTATGTAATGTACTGTACTCTGTACAGTACCTTGGTTTGTGGCGGCCCCTGACTACTTGACACGACTCATGATACGGTTAACGTTTTCCCATAAGGCATGAATACTAATCACACCTATGTATGTATCCGTAGGTATCTTGTCATGCTTCGCTTCAACAGCAATTCATCTTACATATCATTTAAACTGGGTTAGTTAGTCTTTTACTAGACCTAGACATGGCTACAGTATCCGAAACGGGATGAGAATAATAAAAGGGGAGCGGGCTGAAACAGGGATATGCTTTTCAACCCGAGGCAATGGTGCACGTCACGCCCTGCACAGTATATTATTCGAACAAGTCTTGTCTTGTCTTATGCACGACAGAGAGTGCGTGAGCGCTAGCTACGTTAGCAAGTTCTGAATCTGTGGTTGTCGGATCGTTCGAGAACGCTCCAAGGGATATTGTCGGTTGTTCCGATAGCAGTCCAACTGCTATGGATGCCAGTCAAGCCAGTCTATCTTGTGCCGTCCCTGAACCACTCCGCAAACTTGTGCTGATAGAGGTCGTACTCCGATCCTGATCCCCTGGGTCGGTATTAACTTGACGTATTGGGACGCGCGCCTCCGGCCGAGAGCCATTTGATCTTTCCATGTCCGACCTTTGAGCCGTTTTTCTCGGCTTTTGCTCAGGACCTGGTCTTTTCTTCTATCCGTACTGCCTGCAACACTACACAGTAAAAGGTTAGTCTTTTGCTAGGTCTTCGGCAGTTGAAGTTTTCCTATCCGTACCTAGACACACATTGACCCTTCAATCGCCGAGACACTATCGTTTGATATTGAACCCATGTTCCTCAACGATACTACGCTATCTATGCAGCCCTGTTCAACAGAAAATCTCTGTTCACGCCTAATTCCTTCTTTTGGTATTCTATTCCCTTCGGCTTGGCCGACAGTAAGCCACAGGTTTTGATACGTTACGTGTACTGTCCTGTGACAGCTCTAGGTTACTTACGGTACGGAAGACACCATCGACAAGGTATCATGATCGACATTGCCTTTTCGGATACACTTTCCGGAAGCATGTACAGTAGTATTGGTTTGAACAAGGGTAATAGAAAATTTTTGACAATCTTTAATAGGCAATGCTTAACGATGGAACCTTTGGGTGGAAAACTTTACGTCTCATGTCATGGAACGCATGAATGTTCTGACAACATGTCCAACTGTGCGCCAGCTTCACTGCAGTTACAGTACGTATATCTTGATAGGTAGAAACCCCTGTATTCAGCTTCAAAAGGGTTTCATATCCCCTCCTAACGTGTATCATGGCGGAATGCAAGAGAGGGCTATGTCCTGGTATTTGTGTTGATAGGGAATGATTCTCGTATACTTCGTGACAACTGAACCCAAGATTTAGAATACGCGATGAAAGTTTAATTCACTATGAATCATTTCAACTCACTGCTCAACGACTCTTGGTGACTTGATGAAAGGATGGACGGTCAAGACTGTGACATTATTATTCCATATACTCAGCAAGCTGAAGGTCGTAGTCCTAGCAATACTATATGTATTCCAAGTCATCTTGCAACATCAGTTATCAAAATGCTGGTAGTTGCCTCAAAAATCTTCTTCTTCCAATCCACCAATTCGCTTTTCAGCAATCTCACGAATCTTTGTTCCCAGAATTGTTCGCCCGTAATGGTCTGCCATTTTACTAGCAGCATCCATTGTGCGACCTGTACGGTCTTTCATCAGCTGAACCATCTCAAGCGCACGCATGCCTCGTTCTTCGCCCTCACGGCACTCAATCGCCAGGAGCCTTAGCAAAGTCTTGTCGATCTCAAGCTCAAGACGTGACAGTTGTGAACGCTGATTGTGGCTGCCTGAAGTAGCTTCTACGAGATCCCGCAGCTGAGCAGCTTTAACGCCAAAAAGAATGAAGTCTTGCTCGAATTTGCGTGTCTCTGATGAACCATCCTCTCCGTCCTTATCATCGTCTCCGTCATCCATGTCAAGATCCTCAGATCCTTCTCTGGTTTTACGCTTCGATGGCTTGGGTGCGGATGATATAGGAATGGAGAAGTCAAACTCGGACAGGAGAGGGCGAGGGAAGTAGGGGTATTGGTCACCTCCTTTGAGGATAATGCAGTGAAACTTGTTGTCAGCCACAGCGATAGGGAAGTACGACTCGTTCTTACGGCCCGATGCCAGACGATCCATGAGTTTGGTATCCAGGAGGGGTACCCATGATGCTCTTGATGGCTGGCGCCAGTGAAGAAGTGCAAGGAGAGTTCCTGTCGAATCATAGATACAAGGATCCTAGACGGCAGTTGGTCAGTGATCATACGTCCGAGTCAATCATTTAGTCAACAAACTTACGCCGTTATCCGAGAAGAATACACTCTTGAGTGTGGCTCCCTCGGGAAGAGCTACAGTGTCTTCGTTCTGACAAATCTCGTCTCTCTTGATATTCTCAATGGTATACAAAAGACGAGTGTTTCCATCTGCGCCCATGGGCCCGTTGCCCATGGTTATAACGTAATCCCTCCAACTGGCACATGTCACCATAGGTGAGCTCTTTGGTCGATACACACGATACGGCATGCCAAACAGAGTAAAAATTCGCACATAGTTGGCGCTAGTTGTGACGGTGATGAAGGACTCGCTCAGTGACATAGCCGTCACAGTTTCTCCCCGTGGTAATTCAATGCGCCAGTCGGATCGCTGTGTCCATGTCTCATGTGGTCGATAAAAGATAACTGCAGGGGCGTCATCCTTTGGTGGACATGAGAAGAGGGTGCCATGCTCAGTCAAGCAAGCTTTATCGTAGAGGAATGTGTCTGTGAAATGGAAGTCTCGATGGAACTCGTGATCGTAGAATTCGACTGTAACAGTATGATGTCCATCCTGGTCAACCGTCCAAACAAAGCCGATCAAATTGAGGCAGAGGTATTTGCGGTTGCCACGCCATGGAGTTGCACCTGGTTGGAAAGCTTCGTGGTATTGTGGTTCGAGCAGGTGGCGTCGCTTATTCGCAAGACCAAGGCCGTCATCATCCCGACCTCGTTTCTGGCCCAGTCCTGTAGTGTACCCAGCACCATCATCATCCTCCACGAAGTCGTCATCGCCGTATCCATCACCACCTTCAAGGAACGAGTCAAGACTTCCCAGAGAGTCTCGTCTCGGTCGTGTTGGCAGAGCTTGTTGCTCCCGACCGTTAAGAGGAGGCGGTCTTCGGTTCGCAGAAACCTCAGCGAGTGGGTCGTGGATGAAGGGTGCTGGTTGTGTGTTGAGCTTCAGTAGGGGCGAGAACTGGTCTGTGAGAAAGTCGGGGTAGATATAGACCTCGCCGTCAGTAGTTGTGAACGATAGAATGTTCTTGGTAGGGTGCCAAGATATGTCAATGACATTGGAGTAGTCGTATCTTGCAATGACGGACTGTGTCCTCGTCTCCCAGATCAACAGCTTGCCGTCTTTACTCGCTGATGCCAGCATTGCACCATTGGGTGACCATGCTAGGGCGGTTATATCAGCCAAATGCCCATTGGCGAAAGTCCTTTGCTTTTCCCAGTCATTTTTGGAGATGACCTGGATGTCTCGCATGGGAGTTGGTACGGCGAATGCTCTACCGTCCGGGTGCCAGGCTGCACGCGTCGAGCTCTCACCATCTGTATCGACAGCGCCAATCACACCATCCACCTTTCGAATCAACTCTGGCTCTTCTGCGGTGAGAGAGTAAACATATACGATACCATCTGTGCCGGAAAGAGCAACCAGTCGCCCTTGGGGGTCGAGGCTAACATTTCGTACAGCGCGTGCATGTTCTCGCAGGTACTTGACTTGTGATATGTCTTGTGTGTTGACAATCTTGACGCTCAACTCATCACTCGCAACAGCACACCATTGACCATCGGCTGTCAAAGCGACATCACGAATCGGCAGTGTGGTTCGAGTAAGGAATCGCTCAAAGGTGTTTGTTTCGAGGGAGTATAAGCTGACGGTGCCGTCTTCAGAACCAACAACAAAGAATTGGTCTCCCGCGGCGACCGCCATGTTCTGCTCCTGACAGTCATCGATGTTAATTGGTTCTCCATCGGAACCTGTTTTGTACAGTCGAATCGTGTTGTTTGAGCCAACGGTAACAAGGCGACTACCATCGGGAGTATATGCGCAGCGAGTGGTTCCTTGCGTATGGGCAGGCCTTGGCCGTGGCTTTGGGGCAATTGTCGAATCCATGGTCGTCGTCGTCATCGTCGTCGTCGTGTTCACAGATTGGAGATCCTAGAAAGGAAAGATGGGTGGTGGATTGTTGATTTAGAGGTGGGACATCAATCTGGTCGTTTCTCGGGAGACGCGTCTGACCGCGTTGCAATTAAAGTCGCGGAAGGACCCCGCGACTCGTTGTTCAGGACAGGACCGTTGCAGGGGAATGCTCCACTAAAATTCAACTCCCTCTCTTATGACTGACTGCCCTGCCTAACCTAGATTACCTGGATTAGGTACTCAGAGAGATCCATTTTGAATGATAGCCCGACTACTTGATCAAAGCACATATACCTAAGTACTCAGCACCTATACTCTCAAGTTCTAAACTCGGTCCTTGGATTTTCATAATCATGCAGTCTGCAGACCATGACCACTTCTTTGAAACGGAGTATGTACACAATTTCGATATCAAGTACACCTCCATATTGACCACACTTGCAGTGCTGTCCAAGCTCAACGTCAACGCAAGGCCGCAAAGGCCGGCAACAAAAATGGCGAACCAATTGCTATGAAGTCCAAGATACTTGCTGTTGTTCCAGATCCTGCTTCACCTCTCACTTCTGTATTCATTGCCGAATCTGCTGGTGCTGTCCGCCGAATCAACCTCGAGGTATGTCAGAAATTTTGTAAAGATCTATGCAACTCTAACATGGTGTAGATATCGGAGCCTAAGACAACGTACCGTGGACCAAAGGCACCTGTAACTTGTCTTGCCACGGGAGGCCAAGATAACCAGATAGTATTTGCAGGCTCGTGGGACAAGGACATCTGGTCATGGGACGTTGAGACTGGAAAGCTTGGCCGCAAATTCAGCGGTCATTCAGACTTCGTAAAGACTGTTGTTTGTGCTACCGTCTCAGGTAAACATGTTCTCATCAGCGGAGGCGCCGACAAGAAGATACTGGTTTGGGATATTGAGTCAGGGAAACGGCTGCACACCCTGCAGGACCCTACTACGACAATGCTGGCCGTCCAACACATTGCTATCGATCCTGTCCTTAGCGACACAGCCAATATTGTCTTTGCCAGTGCGAGCAGCGACCCGCACATCAGGAGGTGGAAAATCACCCTAGACAGTTACGAGCAGCTTTCCGAGTCATTCTCTGACCGCCCCGATGCTGAGCGACTTACCATCCAGGAACACGAGACCAGCATCTACCGTCTGTTCTACGACCAGTCAAGTGAAGATGTGGATCTATGGACTGCCAGCGCTGATGGAACTGCAAAGTGCTTGGCGCGTTCGAAAAATTTCGTCGCCGACGACTCCTTCGAACATGGAGATTACGTACGAGGGGTTCTTGCAACAGACCAATGGATTGTCACGGCTGGACGCAATGAGGATGTCAAGGTCTGGGACCGCTCATCCGGAAAGCTGTACTGTACATTGATCGGTCACTACGAGGAGGTAACCGACATTATCATGCTGCAAGATTCTGATGGTACTCCTCGCAAGGTTTGCAGTGTTGGAATCGATGGAACTATCCGAACATGGCCACTGGCCAAGTCTGAACTGGATGAAGTGGTTGTCAAGATTCAAAAAGCCTCCGAGCCCAAAGAGGAGGAAGAGGACAAGAGTGGCAATGTCTTGACTGCTGAGGAAGAGGCCGAGCTTGCAGAACTCATGGACGATTAGACAGTTCGAAAATGTAGAAAACTGAACAGAACGTCACGACTCTTTCAGAACAATCTGGAAACCACCCATGTTCTAATTTACCAGCCATTATCAACTCCCGAGCCACTTATTGTGGTGTGCCTGCGTTTCACGAAAGTTCAGCTCGACTTTGCTTGCGCAAAACACGACGGTTAGATGCATTTCCGCTGTGCGACTATGTGTGTCAAGTCGCTCTTTCGAGGCGCAGCATCACAACCCGTGTTTCGTCCCTTAGAAAGAACTACCCCAGAACGAAAAGAGCAAATATGTGTGTCACGCCACTTACTGCTCTAGTAATAGGGCTTCCCTGGTTCTCTACGTAGTAAGAGATAGCTGTAACCAGTTTTCCCATGCTACTCTTTGGCTTGACCCGAACCTATCATCTATAATAACTCACTTAGATCAGGCAGGAGAATTGCCTCGTCATATTGAGATGAATCGGCAGATGATATCTTACCAGACGGCATTGGGCTTTGCCTAAAGGGGGTTCAGAAAACAGAAGAGCCAAGCAACGATCCGCCGGTATACAGTAGCAGATGATGGGACCTGATCTGCATTCGCAGCATATCCTGTTCCGCTGTAAATTTCAAAGTGCTTGCTTCTGGCTGAACCTTGGCGTGATCGGAAAGCAAACAATCTCGTTTTGCTTTTGAATAGACTAGAATACGATGAGGCTGCCGAAATTGTACGGCGGTCTAATCAAGATCTGCGTGGTACTTTGCCCAACGAGAAATATCGCTTCGCCTAAGAATGGATGTTGTCGAGTTGATCTCCCTATCTCCGTGGCACCCGGTTACAGTAGCACTGCTGTCCTTGCCCCAAACATACCTACTGTACAGTACAACGCAGAAGAAGACATTGACTGGTGGGAAATGACATGGTCGATAGTGCGTGAGCTGGACATTCGGGCTTGCGTAGCTATGAAGTCGCACGACTATGATCCTTAACGCCGAGTGTCGAGATTAATTATTGCTCATGGCGCAAACAGTTTCTGGTTTCGACTTCCCCTGGATAGGATAGGTAACCAAGCATGCAACGACTGGGCAAGGAGGCCGACTCCTGTAACGTCTACGCCGATCTGGCTTCTGCAACATGTGTTATGAATCCAAGGTGTCGGGTCTGAACTGCTGCAAGTCTCCCCCGTCCCCTGTCGATACCGATGACCACTCTTCAAGATTGCAGGTTTGTTAGTGTAGGAATGGACGGATAGCCGTCTCTCCGGCTCGCAAACGGCCTGGACCCTGTCCGGTGACGGTTGGTCACTGCCTCCAAGTCCAAGTGGACCGACCAGTCGCTACGCAGAATATTATCCATAGTTATTTCTCCAGACTCCAGAATTATGAAAAGAAAGAGAGAAAAAAGAAAGCAAAGCTCACTATATGACCTGTGCTACGCTATTCGGAGTAAAGGGAGAGTTCTTCAGGACCCATTCGGTGTCATTGGCGAGTAACTGGGTCCGACGGCTCTTCTTTATATCCGGATAGCCTTCTTGCAAATAATTGAACCTGAAACAATAGCTTTGGAGCGCGAGTCATCGCACATCATGACTCTGCTTGCCAGAACTCGATCCGGCAAGACGTGCAGACCCCAGCCCGAAGAGCTGGAATCTATTCTGTATGCACCAAATCAACGTATAGCAGGGTCTAATGTACTGTACTACAGTTCCTATTTCTATGTACCGCAGTTACCTACCTCGAAACTGTACTCGGCTCGAAAATAGTATGTTGCTCTTGAGATGGAAATAAATTGATTTCCAAGTCCCGAGATAGTCGCGATAAGCCGTAGCGAATATTCTTGGCTATGCGAAAACTGTCACCAAACCATCCCATAGCAATTTTACTTCTATCTCTCAGAACCTTACAAGTCGCACTAACAAGCAAACGATGTTGAGTGGGCAGGGGAAATAGCCGCGCGGTGCGAAGCATTTTGAGATTCACGCCTAGGGCTAGCCTCTTAGTCAGATCTTGCACGAACAGAACCTGAGACATGCCACTGACCGAGATATCGACACAAGGCTTAGTTCACATAGATAGAATAGATAGTCCATCTTAAACGTAAAATCTACAACGTCTTTTTGGATCAACTGTGTTGGTGGCGCTCTTGAGAATCTAGCCATAATCACCAAGACCCTGAAACCGAAGCTTGATAGGCTCCATCTTGCATGTTGATCGACAATGAGCAGGGGTCAAAGATGATCACTTGTCGCTTTTGGATTCTGTGGCTAAAATAGAATCGAAGCCCTGTTGATAGACGTGGAGAGATCGGCAACGATTGGGGCGGCCCGAAAAGGGCTGAGGCCTCGAAAGTCTAGCTTTCTTTTTTTCATAGCTTGAGGACCCTTTCAAGTCCAGATATGAAATCCAAAGCAAACATAGCAATCAACAAACAGCAAGGATCAAAATGGCAATTTCCACGCTGTGTAGATTGCGTGTATAGAGCTGCACTCGACGGGTCTCAGTTGTGCTGGCTGCTGGCTAAGGGAGCGAATATGTGCAAAGGTCGGTCGGTATGGTACTGGATGTATGACATGAGCGTCCGGGGAGGTAGTTTGTGCTGGTGCACTGTCGCTTTGTACTTGACACTCGGTTCAAGGCTCTAGAAAGTGCGACAATTTCCAGTTTTCGTGTTTCATGTTCTAGCTCAATGTTTCTTCCTGTCAAGCTTGGTCCACGCCATGTGCCAGTGGATCAAATTCGCCGAAATATGATGGTCTCTATGACTATGACCTGTCGAGTTCATCAGCTATGCTATGGGTGTTGGATAGATATATTGCATGACCACATCGCGGTCCGAAACCACTAACTAGACTAGTCATTTGGGCTGAAGCCTTCATCAAGGGCGACTGCGTCTCAGCTCAGGTCGAGATTGGATCCTCTCAGGGACAGCCCTGACGCATTCCCCTGTAACCTTTGCTGTGGAACCCAGGCCGTGAGTTGCATCATGGAACAGGGTACATGGGTGACCCTGATCCCTGTGATCGTCGTCGCAAACAAACCACAACAGCTTCGCTCCTGGTATACTGCCATTGGTGTTTGCGTTTGTGCTTGTGGCACATCGGCCAAGCACTTCTCCCTCACTCAATTGCCATCCTGTAATTACTGTAATGTACGCGCTGGAGACGAGGCGCTGACGGGAGTGCCGCTGCAGGTCCCCGATGGCCTGGTTCCAGTACAAACTGCTTAGCCAGCAGTCCAGCCGGCTGGGATTCCGGCTCGAGAGAATCAGAATGAGAGAAAGCTTAGGCCACCTTCCCCTCCAAGTCCAAATGGGTATCCATATTGTTCTTCTTTGGCTCCAACCCAGAAACAAGACGAGCCAATAATGGTTCTTCAGATTCGATAGGCTGATAGGGCAGGCTCGATGGGGTTATGGAGTCCCAACACAATTAGAAGCAATCGCTAGAGTGGCTTGCTTTTTGCTTTGGGTAGCAGGGTTCATCCATCAACCTGAAATCTCTAAATGGAGTCCGAGTTGGATAGAGGAGACGCCATCGGTTGACAGTGGAGCTGCTGGTGGTAGCACCGGCTGGCCTGAACGACGGGAGCTGCGACTTCCCTCTAAGTAGGTAGGCAGGCAAGAGGGAAGAAGGGACAGGCACCTACCTGCCTCGGATCGGATATGTATCACGCACCTGCTTCCTGTCACCTTTATTCCCATTGATTCTACAGTTCTTGCCAGTTGACATCTCGATGCCACCTGCCTTGACCACTCTTAACATTCTTCGAGAGTCGGCATTCTTTTCTTTTCCCCTCCTCACTTCTCCCTTCCATCCCCAGGCTGGGATCTTTAAATTGCATTCATAACTTCTCATACCAGCCTCGACTATTCCCAGTAGTCGTATTCAGCATCTTTTCTCTTAACCCCTTGTAAGTTCATTCCTATACTCATTCCGGTCATAGTTATATTGATTATCTATTAGAGTTTCTTCTTTGCGAACGAGCTTGTTTCACAGCATAAGCTTCTCGACTACGCTCCCTTTTCCCGACTCATCCCCTTGATCAGGCATTCCTTTCATCGCATTCCCTTATTTTAGTTTCGTGTCTTCCATTCACTTTCTCGCTCATACTGAAAGATCTTCCGAATCAGTGGCGCCTCGAGTATCCACTATGTCTACCGATAACCAGCAACTTGGGAGTATTGTTGCCTTTGAGGGTCATGTAGACACCATATCTACACAACTGCGGCTTCTTCCTACGTCGCCACAAATCCTGATCCTCCCCAACATCCAGAGCTACATCTCAAACGAGGAAACGAATTACCAGTCCGACGTTCGTCTTTATGTCAAGAGAATACATGAAGCTGCCGTAGCTCGTCACGAAGCTGCCCGAGCCTTCTTGCAAGGGTCAACACCAGCGAGCAAGCGATTAGTGTTTATGAATGGCGGTACTCCAAGTGCTCAAGCCCTCTGCATCAAGGCCATCGTGGATCAGGAAACAGATGGAGACACTAACCAAGCCGAGTCTTTGTTCTGTCAACTAATCAAGGATGGGGTTCTAGGTCTGGAAAGCCCGGTCAGAGACTGGAGAAGGCCAAGCATGTCCGATGATGTTGAAGGAAAGGGCCTTGAAGACGAGCTTGAAGATCCCATAACACGGGCTATGCGAGCTGCTGATGCGCTGGACCGACAAACAGCCAGCCTCCAACCCTCCACTGAAGTCGACCTCACTCTCACACCACGCCCTCGGAGCAACAGCCTGCCACTTTATGGCTATGAAGATAATTTTGGGGACGATGCACCATTTTTTGTTTTCGGCGCGCAGGACAAAGACGAGAGTGGGAACGCAGTTGAAGAAGCTAAAGGCTATTCATACTCACCTCAAGCATCCAGGTTTTCTATTACACACTATGACCGGTCTGCTGATCGTATCTACCGCAACATTACTCACTTACAGTCCCCATCTTTGAAAACTTGCTTTTTGGCGTCCCCCAGCTGTGTTGGGGAATCCTACAACTTGATGGGGGGTACTATATCACCAGGTTTTGAAGCTTTGACACCGCGTTCTGATGTATTGAGCATCCCATCCACAGATAATGTCGTGTATGGAGAAGCCTCATTACTGGACATGCGATCACCAAGCCGCAGTTCTACCCTGTCACGAGTTAGATCCTTGGACAGAATCTACCCGGCCACTCCTAAACAGCGGGATCTTTGTATTCCCACAGCCGCCGCCGAGCTCACACGACCATCGGAACTCGATGCGGAATTAGAAATGTCCCAGACACGCCGAATGTCTAGAATGACGTCTCCTAGCAGACGAAGCTATATCGAAGCGCCAAGAACTGTCATTGTCAAGAACAATCTTCCTGTCATCATGATGGCTCCTGTCCCTTTGGAGAAAAAGCGTAAACCTGCAAGGGCATCGTACGTGGACAGAGGTACAGATGCGAAAGGTATGCCTGGATCAAAGGAGACTTTCGAGCCAGTATTGCCTTTGACAGAAGACCTGGTGGTTCATTTGAAGGAGGAAGTGCCCGACCCTCTACTCAACTCCGTTGTTTGGGGATTTAAGACCAACCATTTTTCCACTTTCCTTCAATCGCCCACCTCTGAGACTGACGAATATCATGCCTTGGTCCCAGCAACACCTAAGTCGCACAGCATCACAGGTGTAAGTTGCATGGAAGATCAGCTTCAAAATCTGCCTGTTAGCAAAGTATTCGACTCCGATGAATATGACCCATTCGCATACAACCAGTCTTCATGGCTTAAGCGAAAACCCCTCCCGAGTCTGCCTAAAGTCACAGTTGAACGGCCACCAACGCCTATCAAAACCCCTCCGCTCCTGGTTCCGGATGCGGATAACAGGATTCGTGAGCTTGAAGTCAACGGCCATCAAACGGCCATCACGGTCCAAAACTCACTTCGTTCTGTCCTCCAAGATTACTTCCCACCGGAGACTAAGGGCTATCGCCAGTTTCAATTCCCTCTTTTGCCCGAGCTCGAAGGACTGTGGAAGCCAGTGTTCTGGGACAATGAGCCTAATAGCTCGCAGGGATCCTGTCATCGCATCGATCAGATTTTGGCTATAGGGGCTCAACGAGGTGTGAAGAGGGACTACACTTCCGCTGTAACAGGGCAGCTTGAAAAGATAGGAACCAAGAATAGCGGTATGAGCCGTAGTGGAAGACTGGATTTCAGGTATGAATTTGGCGCTCTATGTCTCCCTTTGCCCAAGACTCACATGAAACAGGTACCTTCTTGCGAACGCTATGCAAGCCTATACGGCACAGCCCTTAACTAGCCAGACTAAGGATAACCCTTTTGCCAACTCATTTCTTCTCGCGACACTCATCATTCCACATCTCGAGACATACCTTGCACTCCATACTGAAGTTAGATACCTACTCCTCGAGTACCCGCCCGAGCACCTTTCTACAGTGTTGGCCCTTCAAAAACTTGTTGGTGTTGACATGATGAAGGTAGCCCAGATCGTCGATGCTAGTAGCAAGAACATGCCGTTCACTCACTTGCGCGGTAACTCCATCACCGGCCCAGAGCAAGGACCTGTAGGCCGGTTTGGAAAGACCTTCCCACCCAACTCAGGGTCTGGCTATGATATTACGGTATCGAAGGCCAACTTTCTCCTTACGTCAAGCGCTAGCGAAGCAGAGATCGCAACATTCGTTGCCACTATCTCTAACATTCTCTCCAAAGTCTCTGATTACTATGTTCCGGAAGGGCTTCCTAAAAAGCCCTCACCAAATAAGCCCAAATCGCCGGTTGTTACCGGAACCTTTTCTGCGTTTCCACGCGTATCGCCAGCTCCTTATAACCCATCTATGTCGCCAACAATCGGCGGCCCGATAGGAGCAATACTTCTAGGTTCACCTGCAATGTCAAGTCGACCATCATCCATTGCTGAGACGGTCAAGACCGCGAAATCGACTAAGAGCAAACAAAGCCGGGCCAAGTCGAAGCGCAAGCCCGCTGACGCTCGATCGATCCTTACCATGTATGTTGATGATAGTGATTGGGACCAGGAAGACCGGCGCATTATGCCACTCCTGGAGCAGAAGTCAGAAGGGCGAAAGGGAAATTCTCACAAGGCACTCAAATTCCTTGGCCTGTCATGATGAGTACCTTGGTTGACAAATGTTTGTGACATATTAGAAATATGGCTGTTATGATTTAATGATCTCGCTGAACTCAGCATTTCCTTTCTATTGTTATTTTGTTGGATGATAGATTCGGCGCCCGGAAGGACGAGGAACAAAGTATCTAGATATCTCTGCCACTAGAGTAATGTAATTCTGTCAGGTTATACATGACCGTGGGCGTTTGTATTTCTGATGCGTGTGAAAAGCGATATACGAACGTGTGAATTCTTATGCATTGAGGATATCGTAATTGCTGCACAGGCTTAAACACTGCTGTTGTCTTCGTTACTCAGCCTGCCCTGACCGAGACTTCCATCGACATCTACACCCGCTTGTCTCTGAGCCTTGATTTCCTCTCTAGCCTCGGCCTGCTCTGCCTTTTTCCTGTCCATGACATTAGCTCATGGTCCTAAAACTGGTTACTGAGGCTAACACACCTGTCAATGTCGGAGGCAAAGTCTTCTATCTTAATGTCATCCTTGCGGGGCTTGTCTCTTGTGCTTGTTCCCTTCACTGCATCGGCGACTTTGCCTTCTGCAAGGGTTGCCAGTTGCTCTGCGTTCTCATTGTCATTTTGTAGGGGAGCTTGGCTCTGCTTGGATACTTGACTTTCGATGCTGGCCATTTTGAGTACTTTTCGATTGATAGATGATGAATGAAGCGATGACTGCTTGATATATGAGTACCTGGTGCGTAGGAAGACTGATATTATGGGTGAAGATGTTATGACGAGAATGGTTGAGAAGGAATGACATCAGGCTGCGAGGTTGGTCTATGACGTAGATGGGTTTGTTTATCGTTTATCACTAGAAGCCCTTCGTGCATGAAGCATGTGCAGTGCAAAGTGGACGTTGGTGAATCCTTATCTTTGTCTCTTATATGACAGACTTACATAATGTGCTCTAGATCGAATCTTATGACGAATGTCGTTGTCTTGATCATGGTCCCCAGGTTGCGAGATACGAGTACACGGGTTTGATGAGTCTGAGCCAGATTATCGATCATAAGGCTGGTTGTAAAAGGTTGACTCTGCACACATCAGGGTTACTCAATGAGACTTGCTTTGGAAACTGTGCGCCTTGCTCGAGGAAAGGGAGAATTCGAAATAATGGCTCAGGTGTCGGTGATATTTATATGATATAAGTAGGGCATCATAAAGTCCTGGACACATCTAAGTACTAATAAACTTTTCATACTGGCCCTGAAGCTACGATTACCTGGTTATACACAGCACTGATGAATTAGATAGAGCCCATTTAGGGAAGTGGCTAAAGAGGAATATTCCGCCTTTATTAAGAATACCCTTTCTCCGTACATAAATCGATCTCAGCTACCAAAAATGAAAACTAGGCGAACCAGGATGGCAAAAGAGAAGAAACAACATAACAACCGATATCAGAACCCAAGCAAGAGACGAGAAATAGCGCAACTTTCTCTTGTACCTCTTGGTGACTCAAGAGACTACAAAATCGGAAGGCTACGATTGCAAAGTGCAAAAGGGAGAACAAGAGGCGCAGATGATGTTTCCGGCGAATGAATGGCAGTCTGAAATGAACAAGAACCGACGAATGTCCCCGATATTTGAGTTCTGTGAGTGGAGGCACAGCATGGTGAGAAAGAGAGATAATACAGCTTGCGCATCCGCAAAACCTTCCGTGACCACCGGCCGTAGAAACAAAAATCTGCCTTTGTATCTCCCCCTCGGACTCCCTCCCCAGAATCTATCACTCCCCACTTCATCATTTCCCCACCTCGTTGAAATAGCGTAATGGTCCGTGGAGGGCGCCAAAATGGGAAAAGGCCATTCTTCGGAATACTGTGAGCAATAAGAGTCGTGGTTTGCGAGAATGAAAAGCATAATCCAAGCGATCATGATCTGGTCTATGCGTAGCAATAGAGGAAAGTAAACATCGTGACTGAACTCGCCCCGGCTGTGTTCCTAGCATGTTATCCATCGTTCCGGCTGTACTCCATCATCCTGCCTTGTTGATAAAAGAAAAAGAGCGCGATTGCATTTAGCAGCAGCTGTTGTTGGATGACGATCCAACGCCCTGGCCTTGGCCGACTTGCACGCTGGGCTTGGTGTTGTTGGCTGTGGTGGTGCCCATACGTTCCTTAATCTGGCGGGCCATGGTCAAGAAAGCCTGCTCGACGTTGCTGGCGTTCTTGGCGGAAGTCTCGAGGAAAGGGATTCCCAGGCTGTCGGCGAATTCCTGCGGGTTGTGTCAATCACTAGCTTGCTTTGGACAGATATCGCAGCCGAGGGAGAAATTTGGTGACAGGGGCATTTGGATTGTCAAATGCATGTGACCGCAATTTTGGGCGGCGGCGAAATCCTAGGCACGAACAGACTTACCTTGGCCACGCTGTACTCGACGACCTTTTTGTCGGACATATCGCTCTTGTTGCCGACCAGCAACTTGTTGACGCCCTCGGTGGCATATCGGTCAATCTCCTGGAGCCATTGCTTGACGTTGTTGAATGAGTCCATGTCGGTGACATCGTAGACGACGCAGATGCCGTGGGCACCACGGTAATAAGAAGAGGTGATGGTTCGGAAACGCTCTTGGCCGGCGGTATCCCACTAGAGCAGATGTTAGTACTGTGGTAATAAAGCCAATATCTGCGCAATAGGAGGCACATACGATCTGAAGCTTGACAGTCTTGCCATCGAGCTCTATTGTTCGGATTTTCTGACAAGGGTTAGCTGCTATCCAGGAAAAATGCTGACATGAACGGGAGGCGACGCACGAAATCGACACCAATAGTAGAAATGTAGGACTCGGTGTAGGTGTCATCGGCAAATCGCAAGAGCAGACAAGACTTTCCAACACCGGAGTCTCCGATGAGGAGGAGCTTGAAGAGATAGTCGTATCTGGAGGGTTCATGTCAGAAAAGTCATACTGTAATCGCTTCTCAACACAGGCGGGAAAAGCAGGAGCGAGCGCGGGTGAAAGTGTCGGCGATGGCGATGGGTGGTGCAACTCTAGAGCGGTTGTTAGCATGTGCTATATTTCCATCAGGAGGTTATCGCAAAGGGGCGGAGAGCGGCGTACTACTCGGGGTTCATGTTGGCGGTTGCTCCTGGTGTCGCAGTAAGACGAGTAAACGTGTCAGTAAGACCGGCGGGTAGAGCTCGCGGAGAGTGATGAAATAAAGAAGTTGCAGATGATGGGGAGAAAGATTAGGTTGAGGATGTGATGTAGAGTTGAGAGAGGCTCAAGTACGTCAGGGAAGAAACGTAACGCCAGGCAACGCCAGCACCGCCTAGAGGAGGGAATGAATGGATGGGGCAGCTGACAGTGCAGATCACGTGAGACACATGAACAAAGGACCAAGACAAGAGAACCAAACCAAGCCAAACTTTTACTGTAAGGCTGAGTGGTAAGTTTGGCGGGAATTAATTCAAATAGTGCGTTACGCAGCAAACGAGATCACGGCTCAAGATTGTATTTGAGTCCTTGAACTTTCTTCGTATTCAATCTGCTGCTAGGTGAAGCTCATTTGATTGCCTTGATGTGAAACGAAGTAAAGTAACACAGTACTGTATTGTATCGCACCTACTGTACTATCCCCGGCTGTTAGGAGTCAAGTTGACGTATCATCTACAGGCATTGGCGCTAATAAGGTACCTACATCTAGATGCTCGGGGTGGTTGAGTTGGCCTGTCCTAAAGCGGATCAAGATCAAACGTTCCAGTATGTATGTAACTAACTGAATGATCAATAGCAGTATGACTTCAGCATCGGTACAGTACTGCAAATGCAAACATTGGAATGAAAGAGAATGCCTGCTTTACACTTTCATCTGTCGAAAAGTACAGTACTGCGTTTGCTAGCCTGGCAAGTAGAGGTATCCAGTTGTTCTTTATCACAAGGCATTTCTTTGATGAATCAAGCAAGGGTTTGGTCTTGTGCCATCTTTAACACGATTCAAGTGACTTTGCATGTCACAAGTTAAGTGTCAACTATCGACTTCACCGCCTGAACTGACAATACAATACCTAGTAGGTAAGTAACAGGAAGTGTCATCAAACAGATACAGTAGACATGGTGCTGTAGTGTTCTCAGGAGATATCTGTAGATTGGATACACGAGTTTGGATCTTATCAGTGGATATCATTTGAGCCATTCTCTCCCCGCCAGATCCAATCCCGTTTCCTTTCCCTTTCTCTGTGTCACTCTCACTGACATGACCCCCCGCCCCGCCACATCCCGCTCATCGGGTTCCATTTCGACCTGTACTGTACTGTACCTGTGGCAGTGTATTCAAAAGATTCGACCAATCATGAACTGCGCTTCTTAATCATGTACCTTTGCTCTTTTTTTCTTACAGCAAGATACTTCCGAGTCTCCCCATCTGAATTTCCATCTTCTAGGCACTACAGGCACCTAGAGGTAAGCTTCCATTTCAAAAGAAAGTCCCAGAAGTGGGCATATTTTCTCGAACATGCAGGCTGCAAGTACTCCAGCCAACTTTAACTATACCATCCTACCCTTTAATGAAGCAATTTTTCCCAGCTATTCTATCCGATCTCATTCTTGATCCATGAATTTCTCCATCCTACTGCGGTGACCACTCCCAATGGCCGCACCAGTTCGATCCACTATAAGCCGCTTCGGCCGGCCTTCTGTTGCCTCTATTCGCAACCTTTCCAACGCCCGTCCAGCCAAAGCCCAGGTTCAACTTGCAACTGTCCGGGAGTCTAATGCTCCACTAACAACTTCCGATGATGGCCAACTCGATCATTACATAAGGCGAGGTGCTCTGTCAAGAACCTATTTCGATGCGACAGGTGTGCGATGGATTGGAGCTGGCGATGACGGACCAAAGGATCCCAACAAGGCAAAGCTAGGCAAAAGTACGTCGCCAAGGAAACATACCGAGCTTCACAGTAACACAATGTTAATTCATTATAGCTTTACGAGTTCTCCAGGAAAGATTGCCAACCCTCCTTTTGCATCCTCTCCCTCACGATATTCTTGCGCCAAACATCGCCCTCCATCTCTTCCCCTCGACGCATCCTCACCTGCCAACCGTGTCTGGTCGAGTCGCCTATAATGCCGCTCTCTGGACATCACCGCTAGCTTGGAACCGAGTTCCAATCCTCGGCAATGTCTGCATTGAGGTTCTCGCAGAGCGCATGACGACCGAGCCCCTCACGTTTCTGCCCCGTCGCGCTGGAGCTATACCCGAGCAACTTGTTGTCCGTTGGTGTGAGAAGCGGAAGGGTTCTGATAGTTCTTCGAACAGGGGCGTTATAGCACGCTCGCTACCCTTCGGTCGAGGTGTGGACCCAGACAAGGCTTTCACGGGACTATTTGTATTCGACTTCGATTCCGAAGGAAGGATTCTGAGCCACACCATCGAACAGGCACAAGCTGGTGGCGATTGGGAAGCCGGCGTCGGCGCAAAGGTTGTTGGTCTGACCGACTGGCTTCTTGGGGGCTGTAAGAACCCTGGTACTCCTATACCAATGTTCGAGGGCGTACGGAGACGACGATCTATCTAAGTCTCTACTTGGGAAAGGTCCAAAGGACGTCAGTCAGCAAGACAACTAGCGTCTTGGAGGTGAAAAACGTTTATGGAGGGAAGTATAGCATGGCATCATGAGAGGCGTTTCTGGTTGCATTTGATCATCACCCGCCGAATTGCGCTGGATTGAGTCGTTTCGGGTCTTCAACGACAGTGTACAACAATGAGCCAGAATGGAAAGACTCCACACAAATCCAGACTATGTATAGCTTTGTAAAATAGCATCTATTAAAAGGAAGTTCTTTTCAAACACTATGTGATTATGCGCTGTCTGAGCCCTCTGGGTGTCAGAAGAATCGGCCAAGGAGAGCATAAGAGACAAAATAAATCAGTCATCCTATGCCGGCTTAGGCTGACAATTAGACTACTTTATTTTTGTAGCCTAAGCCTTAGAGGACAATTCTTCTGACACCTACCTGCAGAGGCGGGTCAAGTGAAGATGGCAAATTATCCTCAATCAATGTGCTTAGATGAGCAATCTCGGCTCTACTGTCATTGAAGATTACGGGCGAAATCTAGCAAGGGTTGAACCATTCAAATTCCTTGCTTTAATCTCGACCACTGTAGCATCAATAAGTGTCTACACGGCTACAAGACAGTACGCATTACAATGCAGATTCACAGTCTGAGCCAGGAACTTAAACAAGGTCAGCAGCACAAATACCAAAGTGCACCCTCACAGTACCGAAAACATTACAGGTGCGTCGTGAAAATCGCTGTATTCATGCGCGCTAAGCGTCTCTAAGCACACTGCATCGAGACTTTATTTCCAGCGAAGATAACTCGTTCTTCCCAGAACAGACTTCTTCTGTTGATGGTAAATGGGCATTTCACAATATTCTGCCCAAGGTACCGCTGGCCAGGGCTTTTCGACGGCACCCGGCAACCTGGAGCCAGAAGTAAACCCCCTGATTTCAGGCCATTTGTAATTTCTGCTGATATCCATTTGTTCGTTTACAGCACAATCTCGCCAATGTTCTCCCCCTCGAAACCCTGCTTCGCGAGCTTCTTGACACGTGCCTTGTCCCGGGCCTTGTCGGCAGTTTTCTTCTCCTCTGCAAGCTTCTTGACCACTTCCAAGTCGGCGAGCTCAAACCCAGGCGGAGGGTCGTCATCTCTGTCCAGATCAATTTCGCCCAAGAGAAGTACGTTCTCGCCTCGAACAAGGAATATGCCGTGATTTATGTCCGCGTAGAGGCCTGTCGGTCGTTCGCTACCTGCAGAATCGGAAGAAGGAGCAAAAATTCGTTCGATCGTGGATTGAAGAACGAGATTGGCTGCTAAGGGGTCAGAAAAAGGGCGCATCTTTCAGGCATTGTCTCCCTTCTGGAACGCACCGAATTGATCCCAGCTTCTCAGTACACCTATGAGTTTTCTCCCATCGCGCAATGCGACCATGAGCTTCTCTGCGTTGTTACAGTCGTCAGCACACGATCCTCCCGTCCTGTACTTTGAAGTCCAGCTGCTTGTAGAGCCAAAACAAGGAATGCACTGGTGTCATGACGGAATCGTACTGTCTGTAAGGTCCAGGAGCTGCGCAGCAGTGGTGAACATCTGGGGCGGCAGCTGAGGTAGCGGTTGCGGCGCACCGCGGCCCTGTGGAGGGGCATCGGAGATGGATAGATTCTCCATTATATCGTTTGGAGGAAGATGTTTTGTGGAGGGTCGTGCGGTCTGTAAGAAATCCGAAGTCTATGAATCCATGGAGTGTCGTCTGTTAAAGTTCATGACATGAACATTGCAGAATCTGCTATGCGGCGGTCTGGAATGATGGTATATTGAGCTGAGTCGTTGATGCTTTGACGTTGATCTAAGCTGTTGCGGATCCCATTACGGTAAAACAGCGCTACAGCGATTAATAGTTGATAGCAGCATATCGCTATAAAGAGCATGATTCAGCAAAGCGCAATATCAATTTTCTGATCACAATGCGGGGCAGGTCTAGAGAATGGATGGAGGGGCGAATGAAGGAGGGGCATGTTTACTCTTGGCGGGGCAGAAAATAAAATGTCAGGGAACTGAACAGCCAACAATTAAGCACTTATGACACACTCTGCTACGCTACCTCTTTGTACATTAGCGCATGCTTGAGATTACAGTACAGCAGTGACTTTTACTGCGTCATTATATGCCCTCTGACAAGGGATTCTCTGTCTTTTTTTTTTTTTTTCCACATGTC